CACATCCATGCCTGGTTCTATACCTCTGAGATTCACAAAAAGATAATTTTCAATCAATCATGCAGAAGAAAAGAGAAACTTTTACATGTACCTCGAAACAGAGCGTGCGCCAGCAACACTCAGTTTTTAAAAAACAAAGTCTTCAGGGGGTTGATGAGTGCAAACAACTAAAATTCAGATGCCAACCTACATCAAAAATGCCCAAACTGCTATGGATACATTTCCATGTTTCACAGAAGAAAGAGACGTGAGGAAGACAAATGGCTTGGCCTCATATAAAAGCCAATGCAAGACCTGGGAAAATAAATTAAAACTTCTAAAACTCAGTGCTTGTTTTGCCTAGACAATGTTTCTCTGGCTTCTTTTCCTGTTTCAAGTTCAATCTGAAAAAGGCAAAACTGGAACAGATTTAAGTGAACATATCAGCTTCTGTACATTTTTTAGCAGTTTCTGTTTATATTACAGAAAAAAAAGTAAGTCAGCATTTTTTGTCTACTTGGTAATTTTCCTTTTCCTTTTTAAACAATTTCAGAAGGGGCTGTCCTTTAGATTAATAATATACACATTTCAGCATAAACAGCGAGAAGGACTTGCAGGAGGAACGAGAGAACAAAGGGCTTTCCAAAGCTGAGTGCTAAAATCATGTCATGTCACCATCAGGACATGGAGCTCTCAGTCATGTCACCATCAGGACACGCAGCTTTCCTCCAGTGAGGTTGCCTCTTTGAAAAGCTGAAGACTCTCACCAGGATTTTCAGCCGGAGAATTTAGCTGGGGGTTTGCACAATTGTTTTAATTCGAGAAAAGAAGCTTAAAGTTTCTTGTAATACCCAAGGCACTCATTACAGCGGACACCTTCAATCCATTCCCAGCTCATGGATTCTTGCCAAGAGTCTTCCCCCGGTTCATAATATTTTGCCTCTTTGCTCACAGAACCCACGGCCCCACAAACCTCCCTATAAAGGGCAACTTTAAAGGAGGCTTGGGGTGGGCTGGAGAGGGGGGATCCTGGCGGAGTGGGCGAGTGGCGTCAGAGGAGAGGGGACCTCGTGGATGCAGCGGCACAGGGCCCGAAGGGAAGCTGCGGGGAGGGTGTCAGTGTGGGCAGGAAGCAGAGTGTGAGAGCAGAGGCGTGGAGGGGGCGTCACAGCGGAGACGGTGACGAGCGCGGAGCCGACGCGGGGTCAGCTGCCCGCGGGCGGAAAGGGGAAACGGCAAAGGAAAGGAAAGACCGCGGAGGCTACGGAGCCGCGTTTTTAGTTGTGGGGTGCAGGGGAGCCTGAAAGCGAACCGCACGCTTATAGCCAGAGCGATTACAAAGGAACGAGACCTTTAAGCCCGTGTCAAGCTCCAGGGAAAGCTTGTTTTCACCCTCTTGATGATCTGCCTGAAATTCGGTGATTCTCTGGGTTTCTCTCTCCAAGGCAAGCCCAGGGTTTTCATGCATTTGGCTAGAAAAAGGTCAGTCCTCTGTAATGCTGCACTAAGTACAGTTTTCCCCTAAATTTAAAGAAAACACTTAGGGCTTTTCCTCATTGATAATTAACTCGAGCTGTTATTAACTCAATTGTTGTCTCTATGTCAAGTCACACCCACTCACAAAAGCTCTTAACTGAAAACTGGCTCTTCTTTTAATTTGAGTTGGCTGTACATCAGACAGTGCATGGGAAGACAAGGATATGGCACAACTCAACAGCTACTAAAAGAAAACAAACACCATAGAAAGCAGACATGGACCAGCTCCACTGGAGGAGTAACTCTGCTCCTTCCATGCCGGGCTATTTATATCATCATCATGCCAAGTTCCACGTTAGGCACCGTGCCCCATTTCCCCGGACTGTTCAGGGATGAGAGACAAAAGGGATTTCTAGAATTGTTCAGATTGTTAGAGGACAAAAATATATGGGGTGTACTTTGGGAACACAACAGATCACAAACTGTGTGGAAACAGCAGTTTCTCCCTCGAACGAGGCCTACAAAAGAGGAGCAACCCAATTGCAAGTCGTCCCATTGCAACTCAGTGAACGCACACAGCTTGTACAGCCTGCGTTGAACTTCCCCAGGGGTAAATGCTGCCAGCTAACAGTGGGAATTCCCAAGGAGACAGCCTTACAGGTACACTTCCAGAATTACCCCAACGCAGGTATCTCCAGCTTGGCACACAGCCTCATCTGCAAACTGACTTCCCATCATCCAGGAATTCAGAGATAGGCATCAGTCATTTCAACAGTACAGGTGAGAGTGCTGGAGAAAGCGATCTTAAATCCCACGCAGCTCAACCAAGCAACTCCCTACGGCTGCTGACGGTGACTCCCACTCACTGTGCAGGAAGGCGTGGAGGAGGGATGACACCACCAGAGAGCAGCTGTTGGGATTTACTCTCCCCCTTTGCCATCCCAGTTGTCTGTGGCACCCGGGCTTCACTGGAAGGTGATGGGCCCTTTACACAAGGAAGTTTGGAATGCAACTTTGTGGACCCACGCCTTGCTATTACTTCATCCCTTACCAACAAGACAAGTAATGCACATGCTGGCAGGCCAGAGGCACTTTGCATCTGTTAACAGGGTCAGTGCTGAAACTCTGCCCTGAAAGGAGACTCAGGACACGGCCTGTTTGTTCCAGAAGAAAGTGAGAAAGAAAAAGAAAAGACAACCAACACACCAACGCCCTGAAGGCTGGTTTTCCATGAAGTTTCTTTGATGATGTTCCTACAAGAAATGAGTAACACCAACTTGCGACCTGCTTAAGGATGCACAACTCCAAAATGTCTCAAAACAGAGAATTCAGATGCCCTTCTGAAGACACAAAGGTAAAGCACGAAGCAGGATGGATACAACAGAGCTGCACAATCCTGGAGAATGTAACAACACTCCTCTGACCTTATAAAACAAACCAAATCCATACATAAAACTTTCAACCTTATCAAGCAGCGAGCACTGCGGTGACTGCTGCTCACCAAGTCCTGTTTTGATCAACTAAATAAACACATAAAAAATATTCCTGTCACTAGCCCTGTTTCTAATAAAACCTTGGTCCCATGCCTTTCTGGACTCTGCTCAGCGTGAGACTGCCCTGGAGGCTGCTCCCCAGCGGCTCTGCTTTGTGCTGACACGTTAACATGCGCCGAGAGGCGATGACGCAGGCGGGGATTGCCAGCGGCCCCTTCTCAGCACAGCCCATGCCCAGAGTAGGGTGCTGCCCTGTGTGTCACCCAGGCAGGCTCTCCCCTGCTGCCAGGGCAGGAATTTGGCCTCCTCCACTGCTGGGTTGGCAGGAAGCATCCCAGGGTCTGCCCAGATACTACCAAGCACAACCTGCTGCAATTGCCCAAAAATGATTAGTGAGTGTGGAGTTAAGTGCCAACAACTGTAAAACTTTACTTCCTTCTACAGCAGAGTTCCCCTTCTATTGTTTGAAATCAAGGTACAGCTGGCTGAGTCAAGGCAACATAATTCAAACCCTTAAAATGCCTAAATTGTGCTGATGAACTAAACTTGTGTCAAAACAGTTTGTGCTATTTTTTGTACTCGTTATCATAACTAAGATAATTGCTTAGATGGGTCATTGGGACCATCAACCTGACTCAGTGGGGCTGTTCTAAAGTTAGGAGAAACATCTAAGACATTTCTCATTCTGTAATAAATTCTACATAGTTCTTTTTCTGTCCCAGTTCAGGCACACTTTAAAGCCAGCCAGAAATCCAGCTGTTATCTCTCCAAGAAGGATCTTGCCTGAATACAGCCAGAATTCTGTGGGTATTAAAAAAAAGTAAAAGCATTTGGAAAATCTCCAAGCTCATGCCACACTTAAGCAAATACATGACTGCATTCACAATACTGAACTAACAGTTTGGGGTATTTATGTTTTCACCTCATTCCCCCCAGTTGTGCCTGCATTCTGAATGTGTTGGTCTCACTCTAGTTGGCCCAAAAATTCGCGGCGTGTTCTCCATCCCCTCTGTGCACCGAACTTGGCACTTCTATGGCTGTGAGATTAATTGGTTTAGCAAGTTGATCTGAGGGGAAACCACTTTTTTTTTTCCCAAGCTGGTTTTCCATTGGAGCAACTTGCTGAGCCCGTTCCCCACGTAGCCACGCAGCCTGTGTGGTGTGAGGGAAGTGGTGGGAGTGTGTGAGCAGGGATGGAGGGAAGAGCAGGATGACTCTTTTTGAGAGCAGCCCACAGATCAGTTGTCACATCAAACAAAACCCTGTGGGGAGGCCCTCCCAGGTGTGGTTCTGTGGCAGCATGACCTGCCTCAGAGTTGACTGAGACCAGTCACAGAATCATGGCATGGTTTGGGTTAGAAGAAATCTTAAGGATTATCTCATTTCCAACCTCCTGCCATGAGCAGGGACACCTTCCACTAGACCAGGCTGCTCCAAGCCCTGTCCAACCTGGCCTTGCTATCATAGTCCTGCTGTGGATTTCTGAGTGCCTGGACCAGCTCCCATGCTGTAAAAAACAAAAAAAATCAAGCAAAGGGCAACTCCAAGAGGTCTCTCAGCCCCTGAACTGCCTGAGGGGTCACAGCCACCAGGGTCACAGCAAGAGAAGAGATGGTACAGTGGCAAATGAGATTTGTACTGGCTTAAGTTGTTGCAGAGTTATGCTAATTCAGCCTTTTCTTCTCATCCCTGCCAAAACTGGGGAATTCAATTCCCAAGGCACTTGTAGACGTTTCCAGGAAACATTTCTGCTGCTATCCCACTCCTTCTGTCCAAGCAGCCACTCAGATTGCTGCTGGGAATTAGAAAAATTAAACAGTAATGATAAAAAGAAAAGGGCAACTACCCAAACAGATTCATCGTGTGATGACAGGGAAGAAAGACTGGGAGGGACACAGAAGGGGAAGACTGTTTCTCAGAAAGGGATTTTTTGGGGGAGGGGAAAAAAAAAAAAAAAAAATCAAGCTCCACCACAGAAGCAAAGGCAGGACAGGACAAAAGAAACCACCACCACCCCTGCCAAGTGAACCAGCTGCTTTCATTTCCACTCACCATTGAAAGGGTTAATTTTCTTGGAGATTCGTAAAGAAATCGATTCCTTCAGGTCTTTCTTCTTCACACACTGAATGCCCAAGTTCTGAAAACTGAAGCACATGTGGCAGGATTTCAGCAACTAGCAGCATCTTCGGCGTAGAATATTAAATAAATTAATTGATGTTGATTAGTGTGATAAGATACAGTGTAAGAAATGAATTTTGAGAAGGGTGTAAAAGCTCTGAAAAGCAGGGATGCTGTTTTTCCTAAAGCAAGGGCAGAAACAGAAGTGAAAAATGCTAAAACTCTATTTATATTCCTTATTCAGAATATATATTTCTATATTAAAAATTACTCTGCAGTAAACCCACAGGGATTAAAAAGTTAAATACTCAGGCAATTTATAGCAACGATTATTTTTGTAATCAATAAACCTGCTAATTTGCATTAGTTAAAGGATTTACTCTCCTGCTTTTATCAGGGAATATAAATTTCAAACACTATTTTAAAGGTTGTTTTTTTTTCTTAAACAGGTCAAAACAGGTTTTTAAATCTCACATAGTTATGGAAAAGTTCTGAAGAGCTGCAGCTCTTCCTTATTTGCATAAAAGTGCAGGTCACCCTGATGTAGGAGGTGGGGGGAGTCCCAGGCGAGCTGACTCTTTCCCACATGGAAAAACCATGACATCATCAAAGCTGAGTGGATGTAAAGCAGGAAGTTAAAAAAAAAAAAAAAATTAAAAAAATGATCTGTGTTTCATGATGTGACAATAAAGCTCTGAAGATGGGCTGTGCCAGCAGGCATCTTTCTCCAGAAGCACCAGCCATTTCCCTTCCTTTGAAACTCCACAAACCTACTGCACCTAAAGATCCTCCTCGCTCTCCTGAACGAGACTATCCTGGCACGATGTTAAGGTTAAGGAAATTAAACTCCCTTGTCTGTGCCCAATATGCTCTGTTCAGAGGTTCCCAAATCCTCTGCCATCAGGCTGCACTTCCAGAACCTCTGTTCACTAGAGGAGTGCACAGAGGAATGACAGTCAAGATTGGAACTCCACCTCGATGGCCAACCCTATTTCCACCTGCTCTTGTAGGAAGTAGGTTTTTTTTAGGGCTTGATTACAGCACACATCACTTTTTTTCCCCCTCCAGAATACCCAGTGTACTCCAGAGATTGTCTGGAGCACACACTTCAAAGCCAATGGAAGTTTCCACGTTATATCCCCAAACAAAGCCTCTCGTGGACAGAACGAGGCTTTTCAGCACCCCAAAACTCTCAGATTATAAATGTTTTCCAAAGCTGTGCTGTCACAGTGAAAGTGTCTGTTTAACTATTGCTGAGCAGAGGGCTGGGCCAGAGGAGGAACTCTGAGAACCCCAGCAGGGCTGTGGGGTTTCACATCGACGTGAGCTGACAGGAAGCAGCCGAGATAACGAGAAGGCAGAGGGAGAAGTAGGAAGAGAGAGAGAAAAAAAATGAAAAACATCTAAAAAAAACTATGATATCATCCATGTAGAGAGACAGCAAACTAGGAAGTAAGAATCTGAGTACACAGGCAGCCCCACAAGCTGCAACATTCAAACTCTTGCCTTGATGTCTCGGCCAGGGAGGGCTCTGATCAAATTTGGGCAGCAGTACAAAGATCACTGTTCCACAAGCAGAACAAAATGCTTTGGGAACTTTAAAACACGGGGAATTTCAAACAGCACAATGCAGAGCAATTAGTCAGAGCAGCCCAAAATCTGTGATTAATAATTCCACTTCTACCGAAAGGGGACAAAAAAAAATAAAACTGGATTTTTGCTCCACTTGGGATGCTCAGTAGGAGCAGAGAGCCAGAATCACCAGTGAGAAAGGACATCTCCTGCTCACTAAGTATTGGATGAGGCTTTTCTCCAACGTGGACTTGAAGAGAAGAATGTGAAGATTGAGTCACCAGCCACAAAAAGGAAAATGACTTTAAACATCCAGATCCAATTATGGATCATGCTGTTCTTTCATCTTAAAGCAACCAATGATTTGTTAAAAAAATGAGTGTACTGATGCTGGAAACATTTCAAAGGAAATGTCTGGAGTCTCCTCCCACCTCCAATGTCAAGCTCAAGGCTGACAGTTTCCCATTATCAATTAAGGGAAAGTAGCCCACTCAGTGTTCTGTAAGAAACTGAGAGGCTTAAACCCTAATATTGAGAAGAATTCATGGATAAAGCAAACAAGCACCAGTGCCTGAAGAGAAATGGAGATGTGGCATCGTGTCAAAGAACGGAGATTACATCAAAATCTGCAAATAAACATTTGCAGAGCATCCCAGTGTTTTCTGGCATTATAACGGCCTCTCTGACAGGCTTGCCTCATACTTACACATTTAACCTTGTGCAAGAAAATGCTAAGAGGAAGAACAATCACCAGAGTCTTCCTGCAATCAGTGAGTGTAAAACAAACCTAGAAATGGCGTTAAGCAATCCGGCTTTTTTTGCTGCAGATGAGAAGGCACAGAGCTGAGGGGAGGAAGTGGGATGAGCTACAACAGCAGACTCCCTTTGACCTTGGCTGAGGAAGCTTGATTTGAGAAGACAAAAGGAAGCTGGTGAGTGGATGGTCAGGGGAAGGTGCAATGGCCCTCAACAGTTTGGGATATCTGCATGCCAACGTGCTCCGCGCCACCGGAATGCACCGAGGTGCCTTCGTGATCCCTGGAGCCTGGCCTGGATGCTGGAGAAGCATCTCCACTGCTTGTGTCACCATCAGGCAACCACCACCTTCAAACAGATGTGTCTCAGCTCTCTCTCCTTTCATAGTGTCCTACTGACTAAACTCCACTGAACACAGAGTAATTCCACTGACACAAACAGAATCCCAGCGGCCTCAGAGCTGTGTGTGAGAGCCACTTATACACTGAAATATCCACCTGATTTTCTTCCCAGCTCAGTTACGTTTACCCCACAGCAACAGCCTGCTTCCAAATTCACTGCATTGCAAACTGGGACCCACAAACAGCTTGTCAGTTCTAAATTCCCCTCTCTGGCAATAATCACTCCACATTTGCTGCATTTGTTCTGCTTTCATTTTGTTATACAAGACTTGGTAAGCTCACAGGAAATGCCATCAAATACAACTGCATTTGAGATATTCTTAATAGAACTGAGAAACACATCTCTTATACAGCCTGAATTTTCTGTACTACACCCACAAGCAGATAGATCCTTCCCCTGCACACTTGCTCTACACAGAAGGGACTGAGTAGAATCTGTATTTTCACTCAAAAAAAACCCCAACCCAAACAAACAGCAACAACAGTGACAGCCACTAACACACTTCTAGATGTGTCACAACCACTACCCTCTAAATTACATGACAGCCAGCCAGTGCAAACTTTCTCCAGAAAGCCCAAATATAATTTCCATGGAAGATGTGAACTTCCCTCAACACCCTGAAGTACTAATTCTAACACTGTTACCCATTCTATTACTCATCCTTTTCACATGTAGCAAAGAGTCATGCTCAAGAGTAAGATGTGTTACTGAACAAGACTAAAAAAGTAACCAAGTGGGAGAAAGGAAAAGGAGACAGATATTGGGAGAATGAATAAAAAAAAGGGTGACAGGAAAGAAAAAGCACGTGTGTGGTGCCAAAAAAGAAGGAAATACTTCAAAGAGAAGTTGCCCTCTCCCTGGGATGGATTAGTAAACTACAGCAAAGACAGCATTCTAATTGCTCTTTTAATCATTAGTCTGAGTTTTAAAACACAAGATTAGCAAATCACTTGCATAATTAATCAAACTCCCAAGCAACACCATTACTCACGACAGGACTCGCCGCTCTGGCCCGAACTCGGCTTCGTAGTAGCCATCTCTGCAGTCTTTGCCAACCAGATCATGAGGGTGTGGCTTGTAGGGCTCATTCTTTGTCACCAATGTGGTTCTTATTTTGACTTTGCCGAAATAGTTCAGAATCTACAAAAAAAAAAAAAAAAAAAAAATACAAGATACTTTCTAGATTTCAGATATCGAGGCGAAAGCTCCCACAAGTAACAGAAAATACATTTTATCCTGAAATCCTCTGTGGAAGAAACACGAGAGCTACATAGGGGACCACATAGATATGCTTCCTGAAGAACAAGTCTACATCCAAAACCTTAGGAAAAAACTCCTAAGGTCTCAGGGATAAGGATACTACCAGTGCATGAGCACTAAGCACTGAAAGAGGATCTTAACAGACACAGCATGACACAAACCCCGCTGAGGCTGTTGGGGTTTTTTCTAACTAATTCTCAGACTTATTCAATCTTACAAGTCAAGCAGGGGAGTACCAAATTCTCAAGCTCCTACTTCCCAGCGCCTGTCAGCCTAATTCAACACACCTTTCTCAGGTGCATGAAAGCAGCCTGGTGCTGACAGCTACCAGTGAAGTCACCCAGTGTGGGGGAGTGCAACAAAAAAAAAAAAAAAGAAGGAAAAATAGTTTGGCCTAAATTGTTTGACGCACAACAACTTGAAAGCAAAGACAAGACTTGCTCGGGCACACGTTTGTGCAGAGGCGAGCTCTCCTCCTCCACTTCCCCTGCCCTGTAACTAACAGTTCTCCTCCTTCAGCCCCTTCTTTCCTCCTCCTGAAATTCCAAGGATCCATCATACATCCTTTTCAGCCAGCATCTCAGATCTTTGACTTGACCTGTGCTCTTCCAGCTTCCATCATCTGTTTGCTCTCACTCTCCAATTTGGCTCCTCTCAGCTTTCATACAACCCACTGTTACTTTTTACCCTTAAGATAATACTTCCGTCACCCTTCAGTTTCTTCAACTATTACGTCATTTCTCCCTCATTTCACACCCAGCCCCTTGAACTTGAAGCCTGATCTGGCTGCTTTTGGTTCTCCAGTTCCTCCTTGATGTTCATCTTCGTAACCGCACCACGAAATTTAATCTCTTCCTGGCCCCTCTGTTCTCATCCTCATTGATGTTTCCACCTCTAGAGGGGACTCCCCTGGCACCTAATCAGCACTAAAGCCTCCTACGGGCTTCAGGGAGGCAGGAATTCACCTAGAAATCACCTGCTATTGGTAACAATCAGCTCTGTCATCAATAGTCACCTTTAAAAAAGAACAAACTTCGCCAGGATTACACAGTCACCTACCCATGTCCCACCTCCCCTTTGGGTTCTGGCTGGTCTTTGTGTGCAGCACAGTGCAAGATAAGAGGAATCAAGGGTTTATACTGCCCGTTCAGCTTGTGCCCTGACACAGATTTAGGCTGAGAGTCTGTGCAAGCCTTTAGTCTTGCCAACAGCCTACATAGTTCCTTGTTCAATTGGCAGAGTGCTGAAAAAATGAGAGTCTGGCAGATCTCCATTTCCTGCATTCCTTAACCAAATCTGGCACTGTGATAGTCAAGGGGGAACCTTCTTCTTTGCATCTGCCCTTGGTAATTCTGGCTCCAGGGCTAGACCAGCTTCCACAGTTGCTTTATGTTGTAGAGACTCACTCTGCTGCTCAACACGACTGCCAATACTCTTTCTCAAACGCTCCCTCTTGAAGAGCTTTTATGCCTCAGCCTAAAACATCTCATATTTTTCAAGTTTCACATCCTCTGTATCCGTGCTTTTTCTGCTGTGATTCCAGAGACTCCGCTTTTGGCTCCACGTATTTTTTATACTTGCACACACTGCAAACACAGATACACAGCTTCTGTTCCTGGGCACAAGACAGCAAGTGCTCTTAACTTCCCATTTATATTTGTCTTTTATTTATATTTATATTCCCATTTATATCTCTTCTAATCTCAGCTCTGAAAGACTTCCCCCCAGGTGGAAGAGATCAAGGAAACACCGGCAACTTAAAACTTTGAACAGGGGATCCGAAATTCTTCTCTCTTACCCTACCTGTCCAGGATCTCCAACACATTCCTTTGTCCCACATACAAAGTGCTTCCATTCCACCTCTACTTTCTCCACCCTTGTCCCTGCTTCGATCAGAGCTGCCAGAGCTCCTCTGAACCCCCTCATTCTGGATTTCCCAACTTAACCATAACACAACCGCCCAACTCCTCGTCGTGGCAGGTTCTCTGAGCACATCATTCCCCCTTCTCAGCTCATTTTTAAGCTCTGTACCCCATTCTAACCCCACACACCTCAGGGCGGTGCCTTTCGCAGAGCCCGATCGCCGCGTCACGGGCGACCGTTCGCTCGCACAATTTGCCTTCTTTCATGCTGTGCCCAGCAGCTTTTCAAAGCCTTCTCAGATTCTGTAGGCAAACTCCTTCAAAGCCCTCCCAAAATTCATGCTGCAGTCCAAATCATAAACCCAGACCCAAGACACATAACCGAGAAAGCAGAGCAAAAGTGGGTTCAGAAAAAGCTAACAACGAATGGTTCCCAGACCACGGGCACTTCACTGAGTCCCCTCTCCAGCAGCACTTTGTTAACTACCTCTCTTCTTGTAGGTTTGAAAGCGAATAATTTCATGACCAGGAGCAAGTAACTCTTTTCCCACTCTCCTGCAACTCCATTTGCATGTCAAGGAAAGAATCACAGAACGTGAGATGAAAAGCACTGTATTTACTGTGTGGAGTCCAACACATAGCTACAAGCACCACGTTAATGTGGGAACGGTAATTCACGGATAAAAGTGGTATTTACCTGGATGGAAGGGAATGTCTTATTGTTTTCAGTACTGTGTTCTCCTGGAATGCTGCCTGCAGATCTTCCCTCACACTTGTACCTGAAGCGCATTCCCCTTTGCCTGGGTTGCTCAAATATTTCAATGTAGGGCTCAGGGCCACCTTCAAAACAAAACATTTTCAACATTAGGACACAGCAGAGCTTAAAAAGCAGCGGAAGAGGCAAGAATTGGAATTTCTAGACTCCCATCTAGAACTTAGTCTCTTTTAACCATCGTAGAAGATGTTTGATGAAAGCAGATGAATGATGAAAGATGATGTTCGATGAAAGATTTTACGCAACAGAAAACAAATCATTATTTTGAAGGAATGGTTGATATTTTTAAGAATAATACACTTTTAAGAATGGTTGTCTTCTCCAAATACAGGTACTGTCAAGTACTATATTCTCTCCAGTGTCCTCTGAAAGTGAAGATGTTTTCTCAGAATTGATTGATTTAGTTCCTATTACAGCGCAGCAGAAACTATGCAAATTATGCAAAAAATACCCCACCCTACTGGGCTGAATATCATCACTGGGAGCTCAGAAAAGATCTGATTGCTTGTACCGAATTCTACATTTTGAGCTGCCCACCTCCCACGGGGCTGGTTTCTAGTTGCAGTATCTCCCCAGACAATGAAAGCTCAGGAAAACGATCGGGCAGCTCTCAAAAGAGAGGTTTTCAGGAAACACGAGTGACAGATGAGGATAAGAGCCAGCAGAACTCTTAAATGGGGGGGTTAGAAAGACATTAACTGAGCAAGAGCGTAAGTACTTTTCAAGTGATGTTTTATTGCCAGACAGTAACAAGCTATTTAATAGATCTCACTGAGAACATCAAACAGGACAGTCAATCAAACAGTGACAACAGCGGGGTGGCATGTGAAAAACAAACAAGAGAGGGTAAGTAAATATTGTCCAAGTTGAATCATCATAGTGCTACACGATCAGAAGAACGTAGCTTATGGAAATGTCTACTGAGCTCTCTGTCATCTTCATGTAATAGCATCCTCCTCAAGCAAGGCTGAGCATCACAAACAAACATGACAGGCAATATCCTGTGGCACGGCACTGGAAAAAAAAGTGCTTGGACTTCAACGTAAATAAGCAAAACAGTTATTAAATATATTGAAAGTGCTAAAAGGGTAAAAGAACCCCTACTTCCTTTTGCCCAAGGTCTGTACAGCCTGTGAGTCCACAGCACACAAGTTTTGGCAAAGAGGTGGATTGCAATCTTAACTCCCTAATAAAGGCTTCTCTTGTGCTGCACCTACAATAGTTCAGGTACCGCTGCCAACACAAAGCTTGAACTTTATGCCTGGGATTTGCTGGTCACAAAACATTTCCAGTGCTGCAGCAGTTCACACACAAAGTAGGAAAATATTATAACCTAAAAGATAAAGTGATCAAGAGAAGCAGAGAAGGGATGGAAAGAACTACCTCCCCAAAACGTCACCTTGGTCTGACCTGAATGCACATTTAGCTGTCACACACCTACAGCCAGCAGTGGAACAGCAGTGAGAGAGCAGCTCTTGGCTGGGATCATCTTCAGCCACACCTGCCTCCTCAAAACCTGAATGCCTGTTCCACAGACACAATGCACTTCCACTCCAGGCTGTATGTGGTGTCAAAACCTTTGAGAACTATGGTTCAGGACTGGCTATAGACCTTTCTAACACTCAATCAAACTACAGTTTCTAAGCTAATCACCTCCCACCAAGTAGATTTTAAGTGATTTTCTGAACATCAACCACGAGCTATTACATTAAATACATATTAGCCACTACTCTAGGTCCAGTTACTTAGAAGGATGGTCCCTTTCCTAGATACTTCCCAGCTCTTACCTAACACTCTTTAGACAAGCTTTGCATATTTTCTCTGTCTAGAAAATAAGCAAGTCCAGCAAAGGGCATGGGAGACAGGCATTGACAACAAAAAGCTTAGAAATTACATAAAGCTGGTTTCAGAGAGAGCAGAAGTCTGAGCTCCTCACAAAACCATGCTCACGCACCTGTGTGTGGCTGTTTTAACTTTCACACTTCAGTTTGCTTAGGCTATTGCATTTATCAGCACAGTCCTGCAGTCCAGACGACAGAGAACTTCAGCCAGCATCAAGGAGTGCCTGCTGCATATCAGTGAGCCTCCCATTTCCATCACACAATCGAGGAGAGGGAGAGCAACCTCACCTTCCCATTCCTACACAGCCCAGCACGCCACAGACACAGACACGCGCCCATATGCTAAACTAAAAATCTATTTTAGAGGCTACAATGACAAAATTGCAGCAAAGAGACTACTAATCGTGGTAGTTGGAGGTTCTTGTGCTTACAGAGCTGCTAACCTGACGTGCAGGACACCCACAGACATCACATATTTGTTAAAACCAGCCAGAGCCTCGCTGTTCGAAACTCCGGCAGAGCGCGATCACTTTAGGTCTTTAACTCTCGCTGCTCTAACCAGTAATTTCCCTTCACACTCTATTAATACTTGCTTAAGAGGTTTTTTTTTTTTTCCTCACCTATTAAGAGCACTTTATTTTAAAACCCCAGGCTCAGTGATCTTTACAGGGCTGTGGTCGAAACGAATGTCATTGAAGGCGAACCCACTGCTTAAGAGCCAGGTGTGTTTGTGGGAAAGTAAAGCTCGGTGACGCTGCAGCCTCCGGAGATTAAACATTAAACTTCACTTTATCTTGCTTCCCTCTCGCTCCGTTTAAGAATCACGTTATCATCTCCGCCGTGATTATCGGTGTCATCATGTTTTGTGCAGAGGGGAAACACTGAGAAGTGTCTGTGCTCTCTGCAGCCAACTGGAGGGCTGTCCGGCGTTCCCTGCTTCTGTAAACCAGCAATGTGCTTGAGAAGTGGCATGGGCTTAACTATTCCACGACCTGCTCTCGCACACGGAGGTCTTTTAGCTCCCCCACTGCTGTTACAGACCTGTCTTCTTCAGGTCTCGCTGTGTTTGTCAAACAAATACCAGCTACGTCAAAAAACAAACTCTCACTAATTCTGGAAGGGAAATGCACGGCTACTCATATTACCTGCCTGCCCACAACTACTCCAAAAAGCATTTGAAATGTAAGAAAAGAAAAAAAAAAATCTAGGTAATTCTTCATCTAAGTGCTTAAGAGTTTAATTTGTCTTTGTAATTAATTATAATTGCCTATACACATGCTAGCAATAGAAACACTGTGCTACATATTACAACCTGCCTCTCGTTCTTATTGTTGTCAAATTGTTTATTTCTCCTCGTGCCCTGAATAGTGCACTAAATAATTTTAAAGAGAATATAGTAGATCAAGGGTCCTGATTACATATGCAAGGAAAATAGGTAAAAGCAGTGACAGCTCCAAGAGTTCCACCAGCTTATGCTCATTGAAGGACTGAAGGGCGTTTTATTCTCATCTGTTTTGAGCAATAGAAAGAGAAACAAAAGGACAATCCCAAAAACTCAGTACAAACTTCCATCTGTCCAAGACGATTCAAAGTTTAACACAGCCTGTGCCATGAGGGAGGAAGTCTGACATGCTGCCACCACGCAAAGCGACAGCAGGACCAACGTCCTGCCTCCTTCCTTTGCTCTGGAGGAATTGCCCAATTTCTATTTTTCTTGCACAACCAGGAGCACCCGCGAACACTCTCCAGCAACATCTGCATGTGAAAGCAGAGCAGCTGTGGGTCTTTGTGGAAGATGTGAAAGTATCACCCGAAACCCTCCGGCCCCGCGGTGACTGCAGTGAGACACAGATGGGAGAAGCATCGCCCTTCAACTCCGATGTCACTGCTCTCTGCACAAATCCCTGGTGACCTCACATCGGTGGTTTTTAAAAAGCAAGAATCTATCCACTTATAACCTTCTGCAACACCTCAGGCAAAAAAAAAAAAAAAGTGATGGTGGAAGCTTTGTTATGGCACATTCCAGCTCAAGCAAAAGCAACTGAAAACGTAAACAAGATTTGATTTTTAAAAGCAGTAATCTACCTAAGGCTCCACAAACTGCACAGATTCTAACAGAGACAAAAAACACTGCTCACGAACTTCCTCTTTACTATCGCGTTACATGACAAAACAGCCACCAAAAGGGAAAAAAAAAAAAAGCCAACTACAAAAGCAAGCTAGTACCAGGAAGTTATGAACTTCCCCCGCTGAAAAATTCCTTATCTGGTTCCTAATTACACTGAAAATACATAAAGACGCGAATCAAAAAAACCCCAAAACTGCTGTCTCCTGCTTCAGTTTTGCCACTCTAAAAATCAAACATAACGTTTAAAAGATGCCTCTGTACAAAGCCGTTTGTTTTCTCTCTCTGTTGATAGTTGGCACACCTATATATTTACCAGGAGTTAAAGTTCATAGCTTGCTAAGTGGAAACAGAACACACACTTTGCGAATTTGGAAAGCAGCTTTCCCTAGAAATGCTATTCTAATTAGTGTAGCCAAGTTTTAAATTTAGGGGGTTTTCTTAAACCCTAAGACAGATACCAGAGAGACTCCTCCCGAAAGGATGACAAACCCGGTTTAATTTAGCCTCAAGAAACTTAATTGCGCTTTTTGTTGTAATTACTCAAAGCGCGATCCCTTATCTGCGTTACTTTGCATTTGTGCCATCTCTGTTTCTCATTCATTTGCATTCCCACCGCCGAGTCCCGATGCGAGCAGGATCCCGACGAGCATCACCCAGACACGAGACCCGCGCTTAACAACCTAGGGGTTTTTTTAACAACGCGACTCTGAGGCTTAAAAGTTTGAAACCTAACAAACCTTATAAGATCTCACGGCGATTAACGCGAACAACCCACCGCTTCTTTAGCGCGAGTACCGACGGCGAGCAGCGAGGAAGGGCGGAGCGGGCTCGGCTCCCTCCCGGCACCGCTCCCCGCCGCGTCCCCCCCCGTCCCATCCCCGGCTCACCGGCCATGGTGACAGCTCCGCGCTCGGGCCTCTGCGCCGCGGGGCTCCCGCCCGGGCCCGCACACCTCGGAGGGACGGAACGGACGGGCCCGGCTCGCCGCCCTTTTCAGGGGGAATTTCCCGGCGGGGCGGGCGGACCCAGCGCTGCGGAGCCGCCCCCCGCCCGCCCCCGCCGCGTCCCGCCCGCCCCGCCCGGCAGCGGCGGCGCAGGGAGAGGGGGACAGGCTGTGCCCCCTGCCCCGAGACCCCCGGGCTCCGCCACGCCGGCCCCCTGCTGCCGCGGGTGGAAGGCAGCAAAAGAAGTTTGTCCTCCGGCCCTGCCCTTCCCGGTAGCCGGAGGTACAAAGGGGAAAGTTCAGCCCTTCCGATTTCAGTGCGCGGCAGAGAGAACTCGAGCCTGTTTCAGTCCATACCCTCACCCTTCTTCTTTCCAGCAGCATCCCTACAGCACTCCGACACCCCCATTTCCCACTCTGTCAGCCCCAAGAAACCCGGCTCCCTTATTATCCATCTTTTCCTCAGCTGCATGGAGCCTGGAGAAAGCTCCAGGGAGACCCTACTGCAGTTTTCCAGTACCTATCCAAATCTGCTACTTTCCAGTACTGGGTTTATTAGATGGACAAGGACAGGCTTTTTACCAAAGCCTGTAGTAACAGAACAAGAGGGCATGACTTCAAACTGACAGAGGGCAGGATTAGATGGGATATTTAGGAAGAAATTCTTCCTTGTGAGGGTGGTAAGGCACGGGAACAAGGCTACCCAGAGAAGCTGTGGATGCCCCACCCCTGGAAGAGCTCAAGGCCAGGCTGGATGGGGCTCAGAGCAACCTGGTCTAGTGAAAGATGCTCCCGCCCTAAAGCAGGGGGGGTGGAACGAGATGCTCTTTGAAGGGCCCTCCCAACCCACTCTAATTCAATAACAGAGCTGTACATACTGGGGAGAGACCAATACTGAAGGTAAGGAAAAACTAATCACCAGCAAACTGATTAAGGTCACAATGATCAGCTTTAAACCTACCAAACCTTCAGAGCTCGGCCCTGACGCAGCGAGATCAAGCAAAGGAGTTGGACTCTGGGAATAATCCCAGAGCCCCAAGTTTGGCTCAGGTGGAAGGGTCAGTAACAAACCAGCAAATCTAGAGGGGGAATTAAAAAACACCTGTAAAAAGAGGAACACAAAGGAACAGGAAGGCCACACCTAGCTGTGGTGCAAGACTACACTTAGTTAGCAACAAAATTTAGAGGTTTTTCTTAAGTCTTTACTCTGGGAATGGAACACACTGCCCATGTAGTTCAATGATTAGTATTCATGAAGAAGGAATAAATAAAATACCAAGGAAAGCCTCAAAGAGTGCTCGAAGCAAGGTCCAAAACTGGTAGGTTTTTTTACATTTCTTTTTCTCACTATTCTTTTTTTTAAAGCAAAGGTTATTGGGATGTACAGAAATGAACCACTGCAGAAAATGCTGTTCTATAACCTGCAAATCCATACACCAACCCAGGGAGAGAAGCAAAAGACACTGCTCAGTGCTTGTTATTCTTCCTGCCTTGTAGTCCATCTCCTCTTAACAGGACTTTTCTTTATAACCTCATAAACTATCATCATATTTCCTATAAATGGAAAATATCTTTCTCCATCCTGCAAGCAAAACTTTCCTTATTTAAGATTCATCATTCATCACATGGTAGGACTGTTACACCCCTGTCAAATTCATAACTGAAATTGGAAGATTAGAATCCTAGGGGACAAGAAGGATAATCAAAATGTCTGTGACATTAATTCTAGATGATGAAAGGGTAGAAAAGCTACATTATTTAGATATTATGATAAAATAATTCTGTGGTAGTGGGTTAGCTTCTTGCCAGAAGAACATGATTTTTCATTTTATTTCCCACAAAAAAAAAAAAACAACTACCACAAAAGAAACAAACCAGAAGTGCCCTAAAACTATGAGAAATTAGGATTAGATTTTTATGTCTTCAAGGGTTTCTCGGATTCCCTATGATTGATGATGTAAAATAAAGCAGGAAAGTGGCTCTAATATTCTAAATCAAACTTAGACTTTACCTGCACATACACACAACCTTAAAGCACTCACTGACAAAGAGACCACAAACAAAACACTCTTAGGATGGTACCTGGGGGTTGAAGGCAGGGTAGATGCTTTTCTCTTGCGTTTTCAGCAATAGGTTCAAAGATGCCAACAGCTGCAGAAATGCTGCCAATTTGAGGGCATCCCTGCAGGTCACAGGAAAAAGAAAAAAAAAAAAGGAAAGGGATTCTACTCCTCTGGGCTAGCTGAAGCTGTAGGTATGAGTTTTGTGTTTGGATATAAAGCAAGTTGTCAGGACAGGCACGTGAAGCGACTAAATGCTTTTCCTTACTTCAGGTTGGTTTGCAAAAATCTCAGATAGTAAAGTGTGGCACCTCAGGAAGAACGAATTTAGGTGCTTCCCTAAATACAGTTTATACCTCTGGTGTCCACCTACTTCTCTAGCCTGTGACACTACTGAATAAACACAGACCAAGGCACCTGGGGAACTCTGCGGCTCAAAACAGAACTATCTACACATTTATGTGGAAGGAAAGTGTTATTCTAGAGTATAGATCTAAACCAATGTGAAATTAAGGGCAGTATTCCAGGCAATACAAAGACCATGTTATGACTAAAACATAATAAACATTCCCTACTTTTCCCCAGCTCGTTTGAACTCTGAGTCTTAGGGCTTGCAGGAACAGGCTACTCAAAGATAATCCTTAAGAGCGCACATTTGAAATTCAGGTGGTACCTCACATACACACCAGTGTCCATGGTGCAAACTGCTGCTTGATATTACTTTTAAGAGAAAATATGAGTGGCTTTCACTTCTTATAGCAACCACAGAACTTTATCCCTATTCCTTCCCTCCTCAATAAAATTAGAGGACAACCAAGCACATGAAGTGTTTCACTGTATAAGATCTATATGCTCCCATCATGGCAATATGCAGGGACTAGATCTGGCTCAGGAAGCCTTTGAACAAAGTTACCGGAGGAAGGACAGTGTGAAAGGAGACACTTCCAGCATTAATCTGATGCCCAGAGAAAAGCACAACAGTGGGACAAAAGGATCTTTTAGTCTAAGCCCAGCGTGGCTGTTTTATAAAACATTCATGTTCCTAAACTAGGGGAAAGCTCTATGGAAACCAAGAAGCCTTCCCAAGTAAAAGGCAGAAACCTAAGCACAAGAAAGAGGCCTTACTCAAAATCATGCAAGCATAATGATAGATCCCTCTATTCCACATAATCAATTCTGTTCTGCTGTGATTGGAATCTACGGCAGAGGGACTATCCCAGGAAGTGAGGTGAAGTAGAGGGTTTCAGGAGAGCTCTGGCAATCACAGAAACCTCGTCAGCAGCTGACATGAAGCGTAAGAACATGAGATAACTTTGGGTTATATGCAGATCTCTGCAAAAAGCAGGACGGAATTCCCCTCCTCCAGCATTGCATAACAGGAGCCAGGTGCATCACTAGTGTTTTTGTCAGCTGACTTGGGCTATAGCCCGAGGCAGGTGAGATACCAGAATTTTTAGGCCAGTCTGATCCAGTGCTTTACTTCCTGTCTTCCAGTTAAAGCCAGTGCTTTAAGATGCCATTTTTCTCCACTTATCAGGCCCAAAGACAAGTCCTCCCCTCCTGCTTTTCACCGGCTGCTGCACCAGCACAGGTAACACCCACATTGCTGTGAGGAATAAAGCTTCCTGTCCTGGCAGGGAACATCAGAACAGTGGAGGGAAAAAAAAAAAAAAACAAAACCAGCCCTAAAACCTCTTGCAGCAAAGGATTGAGTGTCTGGCATGGTGTTTGACCAGCCAAGGCTGATGGCTCTTCAGGTGGTGCTTAGCAAAGGCATTGCCCAATGAAGCTGCTGTGACAGGAGAGCAGCACAGGCAAACTCTTAAGCCTTCATTTCCTGTTCCCAGCTATCTGACTTAGATCAAAGATAAGTCCCTTGTCACTGGCCTGGTTAAGCAGACACTAAGGTACTTCAGAATATGGCTCTCCTAATAAGGTACATCCTACTAGCAATGAAAACAATAAAATCATTTCCTTTTCTCTTTATGGAATAAAGTTAGGTCCTGTTTTGATGTCCACTGTATCTCAAGCCTCACATACCCCCCAGATTAGTAATTTCCAATCCTCTATGCCTTTAGGAAGCCTTGTTTGAAGTAATTTTTTTAATCTCAAAGGCCTCTTATTTAAACACTTTTAGACCTCTTGGTGGTTAAAGCTTTTGTGGCTATTGGTCCTGGGGAAGGTTCTAATGCAGAAGTCATTCCCAAAGAAGTCATGGCTTCCAGATTAATGATAAATTCAAAGGCTGTTCAAGCCACTCTGCTGGAAGGACTCCTGTACCACACTTTGAGTTTGTTTGACATAGAACAATGCTACTGTGCCTCCTCCTCAAAACAGGGTGGAGAGAAAGGAAATGCTAATAGAGAAAGGTTGGTCTTGTGGATAAGGCACAAGGCTGTGATTCAGGAGACTGGAATTTGGCTCTTGGCAAGCCAGCCTCTCTACTCTTAGGCAAGCTGTTTCATTCTCTAAGCCTCAATTTCCCCAAGAGAAATCAGGGAAGATACTTCCCTGCTCCCACATTTCTGCCTTATCCACTCGTGATGCAACTTCTTCAGGGGATGAACCGCTTGTTACATGAGTGTCAAGACACGACAGTTTCATGGACACTCCAGACTGTGGTAGTGTCAGGAAAAGGCAGTCCCTCCTCTTTGTCTCCTTCCCTCCAGGTAACTCGCTCCTGTGTTTCTCAAGCGCTCCTTTGGAGGCACAGGAGCTTGCTTAAAAGTAACCTGGAGGAAACAACATTATTGGTTTTCTGCTGGCTCTGCTTTTACTGAGCCAGTTCCATGTACAATCACAGAAATAACTGTGCCAGCAGGAAGGAATGTGGTGGCACCAAGACTAGAACAAGGTTCTGGAAGACAGATTTGGGCAGAGGTGCCTGCTTCCTGACAGAGTATTAATGTCATAGAACTGTAGCATAACATTGTATTTTTAGCTTGA